GAAAAATAACACTGAAAACCTAGAATGAATAGCCAATTCATTCCCCGCAAAACTGGGTACTAAATATGCTGACTGACTACCTAATCAACCGAAAACGCTCTTAGGAAAGGAAAACGTTCGGATTTTCGCACTTCCACTGAAACAAATTCAATTTCTATAAATAGAACATGTCAGATAATGCCGGCCTTGGCATGCGGGTGCGTTATCCCACCCGCATGTGAGAAGAGTAATTTTTCGTGATATCCCTCGAGGCGTCTATGTTTCACATGAAATATGAAGGCAATTTTGCACGTTGTACGTCATCGGGAAGGATCAGGGAATTGCACGAAAATACTCTACGAAGGGAAATTAGTGACTAGCCAACTGCTAGGGTCAAGTATTATTTCGGGGTAAATCTTCTAATCCCCTTTCCGCTAATCAATACGAAGAATCTCCTCCATGCCTATGAAGGATACAACGGAAAATGTGTCCGTTGGTGCAACGCATATTTCGGTACTGAAGGGACTAGTGAAACGCGGTTGATAAACGTATCCATTTCCGAAACGGTGAAATATTTTCTAGTTAATGTAAAAAAAAATTCCGTGAGTTATCTCACTTCCAAAAATAAATCCTGCAGTCCTTTGCGAAACGAAAAACATCCTAAAAAAAAAACAAAAAATAATTTAACACTTGACGACAGCTTGGCGAGCGTGACAGAATTTCACCCGATTCTGGCTAGTTTTTTTTTTTGATTTATTTGGCATTTTTCATATTTCAAAACTGTGCGCATGCATTATCTTATCCAAAAAACTGTGCACCAATTACCAGTAGTGAATCATTGAAGAAGATTATGACGATTGTGAAAAATAAACAAAAACGTGTCGAGGTACACGCACAAGGGGCTGTCGTCAAAACGTGTTATATTTCAACAGATCCGAATATATTCTATTTTTAATATTTTTTGCTTCAGGAAGTTGAAGTTAGACAGCTTACGTGCAAGAAAATACATGCATATAATAATTTTAATCACGGTTAATTGAATTCGAGAATTCGGCTCCGGTTGATCTCTTTCTCGGGTGTGCCAGACAACTGACTTCCACTATAGACTTGTGAACGCGTGTACAAAGAACGCTACTGAGATTAACGTGAAAGCCATTACCTGTACGCATAGCCACTAGTAAAATGGAGATAAGCCACTAAGGCTCCTTTCTAAGCTCATCTCCGAAATAATTCACAGCGCTCATTCCCTTGTATACTTATCCAGCTGAGAACAGCAAAGTTTTTCGACACAGTCATAAATCCGGAAAACCCCCTTCAACCGACATCACCCTCTGCCCCTTCAAAAAAATATCAGATGTCTGTTGAAAAATATAAAATGGAATACAGAAAGACTACTCGAACCGAATTCGCTTTGTGCTTCCTTTTCAATGGGCTTCAACATTAGCCCCAGCAATTTCTTATGGCCAAGTGAGCAATCTACTTAACAAAATTAAATGAATCAAGTCATGTGCACCTGCTAAGCTCTGCCCAACGCAGACCACCTTATTTTTTACTATTGTCGCAATTCCCTCGCTTCCGATCACATTGATGGAATGAAATCTAATCTATCAGACAAGAAAATTCATTTCCATAGAAAAAAATCAGAGCAGATAATTGCAATTTCCTTTATAACAACAATAACAGGTCAATGATTTGAAAAAAGCTCTCAAGCTTCCATGACTCATTGCTCTAAATGAAAGTGATCTAGCTGTAATGCAAGATCGACCTTTTCAATCGACATTTGCATCTGCAAAGTCGTGTATCCCGGACAACTTGCCTTTAAACTTCATCGGGCTCAAAAACCAACATAATCCTCTTTTCGGGATTTACAAAGGAAAAGTAAACAAGCAGACCTGGAGAAGAATAAGAATTGCTTCAACAATCGCAATTATGGTCTAAAAGTAACGGAGAATGCATACAAACTATGAAAAGACAGGAACTTATCAAAATCAACAGGTTGAGTCAAAATAGGCTTGCAATGTAATCCTCTCTCACCTCATGACACTAACCATAAGGCCCAAGACTTATACAACTGGTGTCAATACATACAGATGCCTTTTATAAGATACGTAAATAGTGATGAAAATTTCACACGTCTGCCGTCAATGGAAGTGTTCATTATAACCTATCATGGATACGGCACCAGATTATTACGGATTGCTACACTGATTTCTACATCAGCTGGAGCGCTACAGGTCAAATTCTAATGCCACTACGATTCTGAATAGGAGTGAACTCCCGAGGAGTCATTCGCTGTTATCTGGAAGAGTTTGTGATTCCTCTTTCAAATATGATAACGTAGCTTCGTCCCACATGACGTAGAAAAATAATTGCGGAGTTAGGGCGCTAAGATTTTCCTCACCTTGTCGGGTTACCTAACTTAACACCTTTCGAATTTTTAATACGTGATCAAGATTACGATTACCATCGAAACGGCAGAGGCTTTGGTGCTTTTACTGCACTCGAATGCCAAGAGTTTTTCCTGAGCTGTCTGAGGAGTTTTAGGCAAAGAGAATTGACTGTGCAGTTACTAAAGCGTTTGGAACAAGTGATGGAGAGCTGTGACGTTTAAACAATAGCGAAAGGAGAGAGCTGGCACTAAGATCTGCAATAGAAGAAGAATGGATGCATCCAAAAAAGGGAAAGTGGCAACAATTTGTAAATTCAGTCTCAACTACTGCTCAGCTCTATCATCACCCTAGGGAGGCTAAATCCTTCGCCAATGCATTCTTTCGACCATGACAAATTTCGGCATAGCCACAACAATTTCTCAAATCTACCTAGACATAGTGTTGTACTGGATAGCATAAACTTAGAAGGTTTGACTGGAAGACTGATGTTCCAACCTGACTACATCTCGAAGCTTACTACTACAGCATCAATAAAGCTGCAATAATGGGAACAACTAGCAGAAAATCTAAAAGTAATGTGTAATTACTGCTTGTTAAAGCTGCACACGAGGTTGTTATAACACTTTTTGGCTGAACTTTTCAGGGAGTTCGCCTTCGTCGGAGCTTTTATCAGATCCACGGGATCAGCTGAACGACACGCACAGCACAGAAGGCCTTCGAATGGTCCGTATTCCGGTCTATTACTGTGTGTCGTTAGCTGATCCGGTGGATCTGATCAAGGCTCCGAAGGCGAACTAACCAAAACCTTAGCCGATAAAGTATTATAACAAGATCATGTGCAGCTCTAACCAGTGATTACTCATCACCGATAAGCCGAGGTTTACGAACAATGGCCATGAACATGACGAGTGAAAGTAATGTGCTGGCGCTTCCACTTGTACTCTCATGGCAGATTGCATCTTTTGACTGGAATCTTGCAATCAATGAGGGTAAAGGTGTTGACATAATTTATTTTGACCTATCCAAAGCATTTGATAAGGTTAATCATGAGAAACTTATACTTAAGCTCTGGAAGTTTAGGAATTGAAGGCCCCATACTTAGCTGGATTCGATCTTATTTGAAAGATAGGCGGATGTATGTTAAAGTGGGAAATCAATTCTCGCAAAAATACTCTTGCACCAGTGGCGTCCCACAAGGAGGAGTATTGTCACCCTTATTATTTGTTGCATATACCTATGACCTGCCCTCTTATATGAATACAAACCCCCTAGTCAAAATTAAGGTATACGCTGATGACATTAAAATATACGGAAGTTACAAAGATAAAAATTCATGACCTACTGCTATACAAGCATAACTCACTCTATTATCAGCAAACAACATGAATGGGCGTATGGATTGCGGAGTAATACCATATAAATTTGCGAAAACGTCGCGTCCTTCACCTAGAAACCAGTTATCAACCATTACAATTGTGACGATATTACACTCATATTCCTAAAGAATTCTAGATATGTAGGGTCCTCATAACATATCCGGTGTTGAATTTTTCCGCTCACAAATTCGAGTCCTTATTTCGCGCAATTTCTTCGAGAAAATATTCGGCACAATGATGTTTCAATCTTTTTGAAACTCTATAAAGCATATGTTGTTCCCATACTTGAATATGGTTCGCAGATATGGAGCCCTCACATTAAGAAACTTCAAGCTAAAATTGAAAAGGTTCAACAGACTTTTACTAGAATTTTGATGTATCGATGTTATGCAAATCCTGCCTATCCACAAGCTTTACCCGATTACAAAAACCGCTTGCTCGCTTGAATCTTAAGTCATTGATGTACAGGAGGGTATTCAATGATATCGTATTCTGTTTCAAATTGTTGAAAGGTGAACTCAAGCTGAGACCAAGCAAGTACTGGATAATGAGACCGAGCAGAGGTCGCATCACTTCATTATCACTACAATGTCCTAGATTATACAGAAATCATCAGGTTCAGGTTTTTAACTCGCTATGCTTTCGCGGAGCGAGATGGCTTCAATTATTACCTTCAGACTTGCAACTGGCACAAAACACCGATACGTTCAAAAGAAAATTAAAGAACATTGACTTACTTGCCTTATTAGGCATCAACGATTTCGAATAATATGTGTCTGTGAACTTTCCGCTTGTGGGTAAAATACTGCTTAAATTGTGTTTACTTTAAGTCGATGACTCTCATTTTATAACGATTTGGTTTCTGACTAATTATTGTAGCGCACCCCCACCTACGAGATGCATATAATAAATAAAATAAATAAAACAAATAAACTTTGATTTAATAAGTGTAATATTCCACGTACCCTCTACACCCAATAAAGTCAAGTGAAAATCCTCTTCAGCCCAAGATCAAAGCCCTTGGCTTGGCAAAGTGCGCACCGACAAGCAGATATCGAAAGCGTCAGATTGGTGTGAGAAGCTCGTCATGAAACAGAATCCGAATAAGCACTGAGGAAATATTAATAATGTATATCGTTTCTACAAAATCATTCCGTAATGAACTACACAACGAAAATAAGGTATTTTTTCAACGGACATGGTCATTACTTTATTGAAACGCTCAAAGGGACGCCCTGCCTACAGCAATACAACTTCAGCCCTGTTTAAGCAGATCTTTATTCAAATGTCGAACTTCAATGATCTGAAGCTCTATATATTCCTAAATCAACGAGCTGAACTGCTAATTTACATGACCTCAGGGGGAGTAAAGCCGTTATATATTTGAAAACTTACGTAGTCTGGCGACACAAAACTGTAGAATAAAGAATAATTCCACTAACGTTACATAGTTTTTAGAATTTTTGATGATGCAAACATTAAATTCCAACTATCAGACAGCGAAGCAACTGTATGCAGGTATGAAGTAGGCCTAGCAAATACGGTACCTGATCATCATAATTTTTCTCAGTTGCATCTGGAGGTTGAATGGTGGCCATGAAGTCATCGTTGAAGCGGATTTCCGGTATCAGAACCTGTTTACAAAATTTCGAAATCATTGCATGAAAAGTAATGCAGAAAATATTTTAAAAACAAATTGAATAAGTCGGTCGGGTAATAATAAGGACCGAACTCACTGCGAGCGCCTGTTTCGCAGCCACCATTTTTGCAATACGCTTACTTGGACCTTCGCCACGACCAACTATTATCGAATCTAGAAAATCACGGTGCAATCAATGAGAACATGATAATCGATAATTGGATCGGGGTCTCATCCAGCTGGGAGGGGGTATATGGCGCGACAGTTCACTCTCCTCGAAGATTTCCTCCCCATGCAAAAATTGGAATTTATGTAAGCAGCGGCAACTATCACACCACATTCTTTTCACTGATGAAACCTCTGGATTGAAATAAACACTTGGAATAACTTCCTCAGGTGCGGAAACAAACAAAAACTACTTCATCCACCCTTCGCCATCAGCACCATTGCTTTGAACCGAACAGGCTTAGCTATGTCCTTGATTATTACGCAGCAATTTGCACCCGAATAGATTTCTTGACTACCACAATACCCGTAGCATGGAATGGTTTTGTTGCGTTCCTGCAATGATTTAGTCTCTCCAAAGCAAGTTTACAATAAATAAATTCTTTTCCCAAGGCTACACTCGCACCATAAAGGAAACAGAGGGCAAGAACGATTCTACTACCAGCGCAGACGACTAGAGAAGGGCGAATGGCCCGGCTCCAAAACCCAAGAAGGAAGGTGAAAGCCCTAGGATTAAGCCTTGGAAGGAAGGATCCTGATCGTAAGAGCACATAGTGCAGTGAGCCAAATACATTGTGGCAAAGTTTGGAAATGGTAGATTACAAATGAATCAATATGTCCTCTGTATTAAAGCGAGACTGAGCGCAGTGCAAAAGATCAGTCGACGGTTTAAAGAACAGACGTTCAAGTTTCCATGGACCACCATAGGTATTAGCAAGTACCTTACAAAATTTTGAGCATAACGATTGTGTAGCTTATAGCAGCAAAGTAAAGTACAGTATAGATAACCTTTTAGTTGTGCAATCCATCATCAAAACAGCATGCAAATATTGGAATGTCTCGCCCAAAATACAAATATTCAAGCTTGAGCACTCACCGAAAAGAGATATTAGGTTGTCCCAAAAGTTCGTGCCACTTTTGAACATTTTTTTAAGTTAAAATAATCTCAACAAAAAGCAATATCCACCATCAATATACGGTCCATCACTGTCAATCGTAATATGAAGCTGCAAACATATCCAAGGAGATCGATGTCGTGATATCTCGGAATTCCGCAGTTATCCAGTGATAAAGTTGAGTAATGCGCCGATTTTCGATGGCTCTTTCTGATTGAAATCGTATTTATTTGCCGCAAGAGCGCTGCTCCAAGCCCAAGAAGAAGTAAATTTGACCTTCGATGGAGGCCTGATCGTGCTGTTGCAGGCTGGATCTGGCGACTCCGAGTGACCTTTTAAATCTAAAGCGGTGAGCGCGGGCATACTTTATTGAATTGTGATCATATCAAATGGAGTTTTCCTAACAGCTCCAAGCGTTGATTACAGGAGACCAGTCCTCTTACAAGACCAAAGCCGGAGAGAAGTTCTCAGTGTACTGGCTTTCGTAATTTAGCTTTTTACATAAGTGCGGCCAAAGCGTTTCTTTTTCGTTATTCAGCCCCTTCTGATTGATCATAGCCACTGCCTGAGTTGAAGTGAGCCATATAGCAATCACCAACTAATCGCAATGTAGCGACCGGTTGTTCAGACCACACACGCGATGGTCAGTAGCATAGGTCTTGACTGAACTCGTGTCACACTTATGTGCTACTGTCATTTCAGAAGGATTTCTTTGTTAAGCTCTGCGAATTCAAAGGAGAACACACCTCATCATATGTACCTGAAAGGCTCGAGTGTGGCGGTAACATAGCAAAAGGAACCGGGTGGATTGCCTACAACAGAGGAGCACCGCAGGTCCATTCCCTCAAACATCAATTCCCTTCGCGGATCAGGATTCTATAGCGGCTTCAGTCTCCAGAGAGAAGCATGTTTACATTAGATACCGCTAGTGACAGACATAGGAAACGCATCGCCAGAGCAAATGTTGCTCCTGCATTCAGAACGGTTGTGGCCTCACCAGAAAAAATGAAAAAAAAAAGTCAAAGGTGCTGGAAAACATTGCAGTCTCCTTTCTTTACATTTTAAATCGAAAGAAAGCAAACGGGCAGCATAGAGTAATGCTATGGTTTAGTCAACAAAGTGTGTCTTCGCAGCCCACTTGACGTATTCGGAAATCGCGAAAATGAGAGTTATTGGCATGAGGTGCCAAAAAAGTCACAATTATGGATAACCTAATACTATAAAAGCCTAATCTATACTACCTATCACTCTAATCACGATAAACAGGTGCAATTGTGTCATAAAAATGTTGAACTGTGAAAAATGCGCTTAATATGAAAAACAAAGTGGTCAGTAAAAGAAACCTCGTTTCTTCAATGTGATAAATAGTTCGTCCTTCAAAGCCCGTTGCGAGTATTCATGCAGCACCGTAATCGAAGACTTTCCTTGAGGATTCATAACAAAGCTTCGCTTGTGGAAACGTGGATCTGCTGACTCAATGTGTATTAACGCCAACTGCAAAGTACAAGATAACTTGACAGTCAGATATTACACTGTTTAATTATTTCGAAATAGTAAAAGGATAAAATATTTGATGAGCGGTTCTACACGGAATCAACCAACAGCAAAACTCACTCCAGCAGGCGCCTTCTCCTTCTTCTTTAACACCTCCTTCATTTTCATAGGAACACCTTAAATTTTCAGTATAACAATTAGCGATGCATTCAATCTATCGTTTGTTTCAAACGAGCTGTTAAATGATAAAAATACAGTTCTACATGTACAATCATACAGCAAAAACTCTGAATAACAGGCTCCGGTGAGCTATAAAACGATCCTGATCTAAAACAATCACTTACTGAGTACCTACCTGAATCTTTCAGTGCTTGGTCCAGTTGTTTCTCGCGATAGGCAGCTTTCTTCTCCTTGAAATTGTTGAACTTTTTAACCTAGATAGAAGTTAGGACAATGTTTCAGGTTTTTATCGCAACGACATCTGTGACAACCCAAAAGCGATCTAAATACCTGAATAGTTTTAAACTTAAACAGTTTTTCAGCATACTTGCGATACTCTTCTCCACTTAGTAAGTAATCCTCTTGACGCTGAAATATTAACGTCTTTGTGATGTGATGTTTGTGATGTGCGATTCCAACATACAGAAGAGATATGATAACGAAATCCAGAGCAATAACTTGATTTTCAGTGCAGTTATTTAGCATTATTTTCAGTGTAGTATTGCATCACAAGCCTATAGGTATCATTAATGTGCATACAGTGTCATAGTTTCTCGATCATATAACCCAGTGCTCACGTAGTGAACACTTCCCAATCCCTCTCTTAGCAATATCGCTCTTACCATTAGACCTGTCACAGGAAACTCACAACTTTTCCGCAACAATCATACGCACTGGGCCATTCTTTTATTATAGATCTGAATTGAAAGTACGAGTTCCGCACCACATCCGTTCCTGAATTCCTGGGGAAGCCACTTTTCCCGAACACTGTTTTCGGTAAAGTCGCTTTGAAGGAGGGTTCCATGATAGCGTCGGAGGTTGAAGAGGGAAGTTACCTGGCGGAAGGAGAGAAGGACCTTCTGAGGGTGCGGACCGATACACGATTCGCAGCAAAGGATATGCACCGGCTATCTAGCATGGTCCGCTATCGCAGCGGCTCGCCCAGCCGTCGCCGTCGGGATCCTAGCAGAATAACACGCAAATCAACGCTCGAAAGCGCTCCGCTTTTGGGTTCTAGTTACTTTTTCTTGGTTTTTTCTCGATCCCTGCATTTCTGACCACCTCCGCCTTAATTTCTAATGAGCTGCCTTCTCAGCGTTAATTTCGCTTTTATGTCCAAAAAAATATTTGGGATGGAAAATTTTGCCCACCGGGGGAAATTTTTGTATCATGCACTATTAGTTCCACCACTACGACCGCAAGAAGAGCTAAGAGAACTACCAAACAAAGTCAAGTGAGGCTATTGAGTATACTTCAAGCGCCCACTTGAATCTAGCCTTGATGAAGAAAATAATTTTCTTGCATAGCCTGCACAGCAATTTAACACGGCTGCTTTGGCACGAGCTGCCTATCTAGCATTCACTTGAGTGCTATTCTAGCAGCTAGTACAACAAACTTCGACAATTGATAACTCATCACTCTGCAAGTACGTTAAGAGTTTTGACTTTAAGATTGCTGACTTATTCAAATGAGGGGGGCCTGTTAACCGTCTAGTTTACCTGTCTCCCACCAATCATAAGCTAAAAAGAAGAAGTTGAGTGAAAAAACGGCAAAAACGACACGTGAATGTGAAATTAGATTTTTTCACTCTCACACAAACTGTAAATGATTTAGCGTAAATTGCGAAATAGAGCAAAACTAGCATTAGAAGCGCAAATTTCTGGGCGAGAAAACCTTGTATTGCGAAACAAGTGAGAGCTTGATAAAAACGAAGTGGAGCTTAACAGTACGTACCTCTTACGACACCTCGTGAAGCTGTTTCACTAGACAAAGTGAAATGGGCAACTTACCAAAGTGAACATCAGGATAGGTATCCACCAATGAAACACGAATTCATCAATGGTGGAAGAACGATGAAGGAAGCCTTTATATGAACATAATCTGTGCTCATCGAACCTAGCCGAGAAGGGCAATAAGTGTCCATTATAGCACTTTCGCCAGTTTCGGAAAGTACGACAAGCATTAGAAAAGGCAATCGAGGAAGCGAATGGAGGAATCTAGTAATCCAAGCTGTCATGAGTACATCATGATAAATGAGATAAAGTGAGTGAATGAGTTGACACTTCATTCATAAATTAGCACTGCTTCATAGGAAATGCAGCCCAAAAGCTGAAACTTACCTCAAACACCCTTGTTAAAAATACACTTGAAAACTGACGAAAATACTGGAACGCGATAAACTTGATAGGCAAATGCTAACACAGACATGACGGGAACATACAAGCAATAAAGACATTCATGTGGGACGCATTAATAAACGTAAAAGACCACTACGCACTACGCACTTTCCTTTTTCGATTTGACCCCCTCTAGTCAGTCCTGACCGCACACTTCAAACATAGGCTTACGGTTAGCTATTTAAAAAAGTAGGAGATTCTGGGAATCTACACCTCTTCAACAAACAAACACAGCAAACCTCAATTTTAACAGCAGGTGCGATGAGCTTCTGCTTAATTTCGCTTTCCAGGGTTGATTCGGTGGCAACATTCTTCTGTTTCTCAGCCTCCTCCGCAAGGGCAGCGTCCTTAATGAAACCGAAATACGAAACAGAATGTGTTGTGAGTAATAATATTGTGTAATTACCCTTTCAAGAACTCTCCGCTGATGAAGGCATGGCACACCTGTGACAGGAATACGATGGTCCCGAACTCCTTGAGTTCCGATGAAGTAAGGCTTTGCCAACGATATCACACGAGACTTCCGATGCTGTGAAAGATTCGTAAACATAAACAGGCAACCCTAGCCAAACAGGCATCACTTTTCAAAAGTCGTTCAAATGACAGTTGAAAAAAGAACTTACCAGATATACCGGCATCCCACTGTTATGTGTGATACGAGCCCATCCCTCTGGGAGATTCATGAAATGATCATGTTCAAGACGTTCAGGCACGTATTTCCATCTAAACAAATAAGTTCATTTGTCAATAACAACAAGTAGCAACATGTGCAAACAACATGTAAACAGGTGAAGAAATGTATACACACAAAATGCTACTACTGGTTGCGCTGTTAGCAGAGAAATTGTGTATTATGACTGCAGAGTGACCAATTCTGACGCTATAAACACATATTAGGTTGGAAGGATAGACCTTGAACACTTCAAGCGAATTTATTCTGAAAACTAATCAGAACTCTTTCCAAAGGTTTGTCGCTTATATGTTTCCAACTTCAAAGATTATCAATGGTCGGAATACTGGACGATTGGACGATGACCCCGAAAAATGGGCATACGTGCTTCAGGGAAAGAAAAGTACTATACCAAAACTTACATTACAGGGGTCGGTTCCGAATCTTCCGCTTCCTTTTTTATTTTATCAACAGCTTCTTCCAAAATGTCGTGGACGTCAAGACTGTCATCATATAGGTCATCTGGAATATAACAAACGCTAACTATAGACGAGTTAATATTGGATAGTAATGAACGTAATAATAATTACCTTCGTATTCGATTTCTTGATCATCTTCAATAGCCTTCTGCGAACACGATTCCGACCTGAAAATGATGAGGGACTTTGGTCACACCTACATTTATAAATTACTGAAGAACATCTTGCGGAAACCTTACCTTTCGCCAGTTGAAACCGATGCAGAAACATGCGAGACTGGACATGCCGACCCATTCACATTTTTCCACCGGTCATCTTAAAAAAATCCACTGCAATCAAAATTATGAAAACAGTTAGACAGCAGTGCATCACAGATCAATTCAAGTCTCAGACCGCCGTCACACTCGGCGACGGTCTAAAAAAAAGACTTCAAAAGCTATCTACGCCGCAAACATGTTTCAAGAAGCATTCAGACATTCAGATTTCAGCTCCCTGAATTAGAAATAACTCACCTGTGAGAGACGCTGTAGATGGGCATGCATTCCCTTCGACCTCCTCCAATCGAGGCCTTTTTGGAGAAGGCGATTCATCATCTTCTTCAGCACCGTCGTCCTCGTCATCCTCGTCTCTTCTTCTTCTTCGTCATCATAATCGCCATTACTACTTGACTCTTCAAAGATTTTGTTAGTAAAGGTATAGAAGGGTTCAATACAGTATAAAAGGGAGGGCGAACAAACCATAATATTCATCATCTTCATCTTCATCATCATCATCGCCAGCCTCCTGCAGCATTCTCAGAATCTCCTCTTTCTTCCGTAGTAGTTCCAAAACCGAGGCATCGTCAGCCATTCTAAAAAGGTGTGGAGTATGTTGACAGTTATAATAAGTTTTAGACGTGATATCCTGTTCTAACTGAAGCGTTCCGAAGATATAATAACAGATTCAATTCAAATGCCCAAGCACAAATAAGGTTATTATAATGGGTTGGATATAACCCTACTTTAATCTACTTGATTCAACAGAAGATCTGTACAGGTAAAGACGCCCTTGTAAGGCAAGTGTGTGCGCGCAAGAATAGAAAATGTGCAAAAATAAAGAACGATCCCATAGAACTAATAAACGTGATGGGGCGATTTTTCACCTCCCTTCAAGAAGGGATAGTATACGGGGTAAGGGTCGCTAGGACAGAAAGCGACAATTAGGCTATGCCAAACTAGCAGCAAAACCACGCAATGTCAAATTCGTAAACAGTAGCACCGATGGCACTTGCTCTATCATTGAGTCTTTTCTTGGGAGTTTGACACCTAAGCTATTCCCCTCCAAACTCGCTGTGAACGTAACTATGGAGAGAAATCAATTCGAACTTAATATACGAGTAGGCTTACAACGCTCAATGATGCAGTGGTCATGGGACCACAAGGTCTGGATATAATTGGCGAAAAATAGCGTCGATGACAAAACAAAGGCCACACCTGTGATCAAACCCATTGAACCTTCTTACCTTTGTCATTTTTACCCCCTTGATGTTAGGATTCTTTTCAGAGAATTTTTGGATCTCATCCAGTGAGAAGACATGTGGTGCGACAGTTGCTACAGTCTACAAAAACTTCAAATTTTGCGAGGAGGAGATCCCCAAAATGCGTGAACTATATATTTCGTTTCCACTTCTACACGCACCCCGAAGCTCCCTTGCTTGCAAATTGGATTACTTCAGGCGATATGAACTGGTGCACCACATGCTCAGCAAAAACGGAACCACCAGCGAGAATTTTGTCGGCACTACGGTTCTAAATGTGCAATGGTAGCAAAAAATCAAACTTTTTAACGGCCTTGCTTTACCCATTTTACCTGTTATCGCGATAGCAGCTTGCTAACAAAACCAAATCAAAGGCGTCAGGAAATCAATAGAAATTGCCAAAAGTGATATCAGTCTGAAAAACTTGAAATCCGACAGTCCATTCCTAAATTACGACTGTGAATCTTTCCAATACAACCAGCCATCTATAAAGGATATAATAAAAACTGCACTATGTACTAATCGATTGAATGTCACACTTATTCCTCACTAAAAACCATAAATGACATCCCAAAACTTTCAAATTGTATGGGGAACGCAAAATGCCATCGAGCGTCTTCTTCAAATTGCCTTGCGGCTGCGTAGCGTGCGCATTATATTGAGCGCACGTATTGCATCCAATCTTTCCCTTGCACCGAAGATCCGCAGCCATCACGGTTGCACATCGAGGAAGGGGATTGGAGCTTATGCCCTCGGAGGGGGGGGATATTTAACACGTTGACGACCGTGTGGTAGGACGTTATACCACTTTTTCGCATTGAGCAGACTAGTTTTCCTCATTTTATTTGGCGTTTTTTCCTGTTCCACAACGATTCACATTATTGGATCCAAAAACAAATTTCTTCATCACTGATAATGAAAACGCTGAAGTGTTAATGCCTATTAATGAGAGAATAAGGAAAAATGTTGAAGCAGTACGCGCACAACGGCGGTCGTCAACGTGTTAAATTAGGACCGATGGTAGGTATATGTCTGTCTATTGTACTGTCTATATTGTCTCCACCTCAGGGGATTTCATGCACCTAGTTACAGCCCAACTGCCCTCATTGGATGAAAGGGGTCAAGCTGGTGACTGACCGTTTACTTCGCCTTCGGCATTTGTGCTTTGCTTTGCTTAAGAGCATGAGTCGAGAACTTCGAATAATAATCCATTGCCACCCTGGGATACCCACGTCATTTTATGTCTGGCGAGTCAGAGCACTCTGAAGTTTGGAGTGAGATTCGCCATAATACACTACACCGCGCCCAGAGGAGGGGCAACGCCAGGGGGAAATGCTTACCAACTACCAGAATCCCTTACGCCTCTGTAGGTACATAATTGTTCCAGTACTATAGTGGGCTCACTTATTGTATGTCCTCCTCAACGAAACCGCAGGAATTGTCGAGACAAGATTTTGCCACACATCTTTCATGTATGGACGTCTCTGCAATTTTCCGAATTATAGTTGGACTTGAGAAGTAAAACTCCAGCGTAGTCGGAGAAGTGGCTCTGCTACCCTATGGGACGAGGAGAAATACGCAGTGGACTGGTAGGAGGACAGGGTCAACCGTCACGATGAACCAATTTTCGAGAATTTTACGATCCCCTTCTAGAGGGCCTCGATACGACCCCCCCTTCCTCAGGGTCAACTCTTCACCACCCTCGCCTGTCATCGCCATCATCATGGGGCTCATTCTATAGTATTGGATTCTGAGACCAGTCGACACAGTCCAAACTCCGCTCACCTTTTTCCTCCAAAAAATAAAACAACCGAACGAGCGGGGGGGAGGGGCTTATACTACATGAAAGGTAACCAATGCTGCATCACTTCCTTAACCTTATCTCGCGATACTACCCCCCCCCCCCCACCCCTCTTTTTCCGCCCCAAAATCGCCTGCCAACCCTGCGTTGGACTTTGTCCAACGCATGGGTTGACCTTGATAGGAGACCTACCCAACGAGCGATCGGTGACAGTTAATGGGGGGGGGGCATCCTATCAATGAGGTTACACTCGTCTGGCTCAGCATTTATCTCGAGTCGATGATCACGGGTAGTACGCAGCTCCACCACGAAGGTAGCGCGATCGCTCCCTGTGAAAGGAAACGATCATGCTGGATTCCACTTGAATTGTGCTCAAGCGTTATCAACCGAAGGACTTGAGATAGAACCTGAGACAGAGAAGAGTAGGAGGGGGGTGCAACCCTAAAAACACGACACAGTAAGATAATATAGGGCTGTTTACCCTAGAATGAATATCGGACGACGATATCAACTCAAGAACGCAGCCGTTGCAACCCCTTCCACGTCCAGTACGTAGGTGGTGCAGTGCAGTGTTCCGGAGGTAGGTCCCGAAATCTTATCACATCCTTGATAAGGCATTGCTGCCTCTGAAGTATCGAGCATTGCATGCAAGGTTCCCTGCTTCCTCCCCATGCGTTTTACCGCGACCGTTTTCGTGGCCAGACTACGGGGCGTAACCCAAGAGCGGTACACGGCCGGCGATGGGTCCCCAATTTGAGGGCGAGGTTCCACATCCTCCATGTTCACTGTCGCGATAGGCAAGAGCGAAGACGGGTGGATGAAACTGGGGTTTCAGCTTCAAACACCGTTAGCAAGATGATTCGTGGTAGTGCAGGGAATGCAAGGGATCAGAGAGTGTGAAAGCCACTAGGCGTGAGGTAAAGACTGGAGCGTGCGAGGTGTCGCTGGTCCCGAGGCTCTATTTGTACGAGAGAGTGTAGATGAGGGCAGGACACCAACACTCTTGGAAAGGCATGTTCATTTACGGCGACGCTGGGTCGAAAGAATCTTAGGGTATGGTTCACTAGGAAGAGAAGCAGCAATTTTTCGCTTTTGACAGCGCGGAAATTTTCCCCAGTTCCATTACGCTCTGGAATGAACTGAGGTTTCCTGCAGCAAAAGGATTCGCGCTGCGAGAAGCGACAAATTCGCTTGCTGTCCTAGCGACGCACATCCTGAACAGGGTGAAAATCGCTCGAGGAAACGACAACAGGGTCGTCGAGGATTCTTTCACACTCTCCCACGCGATGCTCACTCTTCGCCACCGGCGAGCCATCTGCGTCGGCTCCGCGCATGCTTTCACTCTCGACACTACTCTCACACGAGTAGAGAGCCATGGTCGAGGACATCCTTGACCGTTATTCACCCTTCTGAATTGCCAAGTTGCAGCTAGGGGGATTCATCCTCGACGACGCAGTGGTCAGCTCCGGATCATCAAAAGTAGTATTATAGGGACTCCTGAATATGACAACTCCCGAAATGTAACCTTTTTCGGTCTCTTGGATCTATTGCTCACGTCCAGAATGGGAATTTGCCCTTGGGCGGGGATTTATCACCAAAGTTCACCACGTATTATCCTGAGGCGCAGTTCGATTCAAGTGACCGTTTCTACTGCGATATCGTCGATCCTTGCCAGTTGTTCTCACTCGGAAGTATCCATGTGCGCGTATGTGATGAGCTCTGGGTGTGTGCCTTGCGTGCTAGCATGCAAATGACAGGAAACCACATGGGAGGCGAGCAATGACCGTCATCAGCAACAAAGCCTATGTCACGTCTGCAACTGCTTCTTAGAGTTTAGCAGAGCCACCACGAGGGGCCTGGCAAGCTACACGTGAGCATTCGTTATGTCGAAAACTGACCTTGCATAGGCCACATTCCTTTGACCTGAGAGAGAACCCCCCGCCATACGCCAACGTTGGGCAGGACTCGTATGGGAGGAGTGGTAAAACTCCCAGAAGTCCTAGCAGGCTACTAGTCGTCAAGTATTTAACACGTTGACGACAACGCAGGACACATACGTCCCGCACTTTGCAGGCCATAACGGACAGCGCGGGACGTATGTGTCCTGCGCCCAATAAATTCATTTTCTTCCGCGCACGCGCCATTCTTTTCTTAGTTTTTCGTACATATCATTTGGAAGAAACCTTAGTATAGCTACCAAGATAGTGGCCCACAAAATGCTCACGTATGTCATGATTCAGACGAAGATTCCCGATACCTTACAACGCACTTACTTCATTTAATTTCTCATTTATTTTTTCTTTTCATTAATGTGACAATTAAAAGAGTAGAAGAAGTAAATGTGGAACCTAAGGGATTGCAAGGTATGTGTTTTGATCGAGACAATCAATTCAAAACTCCTTTTAGCATTCATTGTAGCTAGGTTTGACTAATTTTGCTTTTCTCATTGTTATTTCACGTCTTTTGATGGAATTTCCTCTACTGTTCTCCTGGGTAGCTTCTGCACGCTGGAAGGTAGCGATATTACTTTTGATCAGACATTGTTTTGTGCATCTATATAACCAAAATCCGCTTGAATTACCGGAGGCGGGCGCGCTCGCAAAATCCGCCGGTCCCACGCGGCCAAAAAAGCCAAAACGCGCGTTGTCGTCAACGTGTTAAAGGAACCACCCCCTCGTTCCCGGAAAAATCATGATTATCTCACTTTAAATCCAACTGGCTCGATACCCACTGTTTACGATAGGGACAAAAAATTGCATCGTTTCGGCAAACAATCCGAAAAACCGTAAGGAACAAAAACCAAAAACCAAAATCCTTCGCGCTCGCAGGGATCTCCGCGAAGTGTCCTGGCATGCCGGGCGGACGTCTGGTGCGTTTGGCCTCTTAGCGATTGAGCGAAGTCTAGAAAGGCAATGGCCGCTTAGGCAGATGTCGGACTCCGCGATTTAAGCGGTCATCACTAGCAGTTTTGGCGATTCAACGAAACGACTCGCACTAACTGGCCTCCCAGGACACCAAGCAGGAGTGGTCTTCGGGGATATTATCGTCTACTGTGGTACTGTAGAATTATCCTTCACACACCTTTTACACACCTGTATTCGAACTGAGCATGATGTTGCACGGATTTAGTACTTATCGTCCCAACCATAGGAGCAGCTAAATAAGGCAATTAAAGCAACAATCCCGATGAGGTCGTGCCGAAAATCTATTCTGTGGGTAGGAAAGAGTAGCCCACGAGTATTAGGCCGATGTCAGACTTTGCGAATCGCGCGATTCGCTAGCGTCTGCGGTCGCGTCGCGGCCAGTGAATCACTCAATTGGCTGGTACCGCAACGCGACCGCGGACGCTAGCGAATCGCGCGAATCGCTAGTAGCGAATCGCGCGATTCGCAAAGTCTGACATCGGCCTTACAGATATGCCGTTGTCACAGCTCGTAAATGCGCGACATAGCGCTAAGCCTTAGTGATCTGAAGGCGAATGTGAACTTATGGAAGAAATATCGGCAAGCATCGTAAATTACGATGTAGTGGCTACTTCAAATACGCGCGAGTTAGTGGATCCGCGGAGCAAACGACCTCAGAAAACTCGTCTGGCCCCGCCCTTCCTCATTTCAAGAAGGGAGAGATAGGTCTGGTCTTTCAATGGTTTTGTCTGCGGTTTGCTTTCGCCCTTTTATCTACTTTCAATCGGCATCCAAAATTTCATTATCAGTCACTGTTACCCCACCAATTTGACCTGGAACTGTTCCTTAATATCCACGAGAAGCCATTTGTGCTCAGTCGTGGAATACTGCCTTTTGACGATTCCAGCGACTTCGGCGGTTGGCACCAGCGATTACTGCGAATTGCATGATTCGCCAAAATAGCTAGTGTCAAAATCGCGAACTCTGACATCTGCCCAAGGATTCCGAGCACCACTACAAACCCTCTGATTTCATCTTCTCGCCACCGGCTGCTTAACTGCCCCCTATGTCTGTGACTTCAGTTGACAATGAATCAAACAAATGCATTACGAGCTCTTAACTGCTCTGTTAGTACTCCAGCGAACCAAACAATTTATTAAAACTATATTATTTTACAGTAGGTGTCTTCCACTAGAGCTCGTGATCCGCATGTTCAAATACAAATTCGACACCATAATTTTTCAAGCTCACTCATAGGCTAAAGTACTGAATAAGTATAACATTTGATTAAGTTAAAAGCATGAAAGAAATCACTCATTTATTAACAGGAAGAGTGACGTCCGGGTTGCTGGAGTTGGGCGAAAAAGACAAACGGCGGTAAGGTGTACGCGAACGTGATGACAGCCGACGTACCACTTTCTTCTGTATAGCCAAAATATATTATCAGTAGTAAACTTAACAAAGGTTAGACTGCGAATCAAGAACATGTATTCTACACTTAAAACCATGTACAAATTTGCATATCTGCTTTTGGAACTATTGAACAAAGATGAAGTTAAAGGTAAGGGACAATCAAGGGTGGAACTCACGATAAAGGACACAGAGCGCGAACGTCGTCTTGAACGTCTAGGCGTCTAAAAACACAGAATTTCCAGTAACGCAAAAATTCCTTCATCAAATCCACATGCAAAACCCTCTCTTTGGGATCAATTCAGAAGAAACCCTTCAAACAGCTTTATGGGACACGGGCCTTAGGCCCTTCTTCAGATCTACAAATACAAGCATACTAATCGTACTCAACGAATCCGAGGCAGATGAAAGCATTCAATAACACAATAAAAAAAAAACGGAGGTAACACACTGAACAATCGACAACTCAAGGAGTAATTCACCTAGTCGAGAGACCGGCGGACTGCTTTGAGGGTGCGGACTGACGCGCAGATGGCACCGAAAGGTTTGACCTCGGCGACCTAGCACGGCTCATTCTTGGCATGGTCGGCGGGGGTACGCCTGCAACATATTTATGTAGCGATTATAAAAAAGACTTAAAGCAACAATCCAGGAACGAATTCGCGGGTAAGGACCACCTATAATGACGTTGCAGGTGAGAAGTTGGTCAATGGAGAAAGAAAAAGTAGAAAAAAACGTCGGGCAGGGGCTTAGACAGGGACTCCCCCTGCCGTTTAGGGAGACGTGTGTTGGACGAGTTGTCCGAACCTGCCCGTAGTACATGCGCTCCAGTTGACTGCTGGCAAATAGCCATGCATGCTTGCAAATACATAACTATTTGCCAGCAATCGAAATTGAAGCGCTTCAATTGGGTTCTTATGGAATCGACCTCATACAGCGCGGCGGTCCCGCAACGACCGCTAGTCGAGCAAGCGCTCTGCACAGCGAATGTTGGGCGATCCGCCTCTTTATGGGTGATCCGCCCCCTCCAAGAGGACTTCGACCCCTTCCAGCGCATTTTAGAGGTAGGTTTTGAAATTAAAGACATTTCCTATAAACTTTAGTTGGGCTGGGGCATGTTTTGACCGCCTAATGACCAAGTAGTTGAAACCCTGCCTGGACTGTTGCTTTAAAGCAGAGAAAGCGTAGTGTTGAGGAGGGCACAGCGATAAGAGTCGCATCAATGCGCAAATCAGCGGGGAAGGAAGGGGTCCCATTTCTCGGGTTCTGGGCCGTTTCTCATGGTTCTTCCTTCTTTCGTGTACCAATCACCATCCCTAAGTTAATTTGAAATAGGTTTCTTTCTCATCATAAGTTCTGCCTTCAAGAAAAACTGGAAGTGAGCGCGTTGATCCCGGGAGTCCGCGGAGGGTAACGTGACATTGCAAATGTGGTGAGATGAGGGTGAGGAGGGAGAAGAACACATCT